ATTAACTTCAATCTCTACTATACTCTCACACATAATGTCCAGCACATAATAAAAAATTAAACAGACATACAAAGCAGCAGAAAATTTTGACTCATATTGAAGAAATAAGGCTATTGAAGCAGACCCACAGATAACCTAGATATTGGGATTAGCAGATAAGGAATTTAAAGTGACTATGATAAAAATGTTAAATGACCTAGTGAAAAAACAGACAATATAAATGAAAGGATGGGGAATCTTAGCAGAGAAAGAAAAACAAAAAAACAAGACATTTTTAGAATTAAAAGATACAATAGCAGAAGTAGATTTTATGGGCTTTATGAATGAAGAGAACTGACAGAAACAGGAAGTCATGAAGTTAAAAAAAGTTCAACAGAAATATCCAAACTAAAGGACAAAAAAAAAGAAAAGAAGAAAAACCCTCCCAAAACTAAACAGAGCATCTGAGACTTTTGGGACAATATGTATATATAAGGTGTGATAAAAAAATATATGGTGAATATTTAAATTAAAAAAAATGTATTTCAATAAAAGTCACATTGCCATTAATCCCCCTCACTTCAAACACACTTATTCTTTTAACTTTCTGAAGCAGTTCTGGAAGTCCTCTTTCAATGAGTCTTCAGTTGTGCTGTCATGGCTGCCTCAATGTTCTGAATCAATTCAAAGTGTTTACATTTCATGGTCATTTTGACTTTGGGGAAGAGCCAGAAGTCTCATGGTGCCAGATCCAGTGAATAAGGTGAGTGAGTACATACCATAATGTTTTGTTTTGTTTTTAAAGACTTTTGATTGGGGGGCTGGGGGAGGGGAACAGTGTTGAGGAATCAGGGGAGGGGAACAGACAAGTTGCTGTCCTTTTGTTTTTCAGTCTAGTTGTGGAGGACGTTGCTTCACCGACCCATGTTGGTATTATCATTGCGCTCTTCCTGGGTGAGGCAGATGGGTCCTGGCCACTGGACGGCCACTCACAGCGGCTCTTGGCAGCTCACGCTGGTTGCTGGCCACTCACGGTACCTTACGGGCGCCCACTGCAACTCCAGTGCAGCCTATGCTGTTGCCGGAGACTCAAGCAGCCCAGCTCCAGGTCAAGCTGTTGTTCACCATCTTAGCTGTAGAGAACGCAGTGTCACTGGCCCTAATGTGGGATCTGAACCCAGGCCCTGCTGCTCAGACCTGGTGTCCCAAGCCAACTCTTAACCAATGCGCCACTCAGCCAGCCCCATAATGTTTTTATTTGACAGAAATCGCCATACCAGAAGAGATGTGTGACATGGAGCGTTGTCCTGATAGAGAATGAAGTAAAGACACTCATGAAAGAAGACTTTTAGAACTGCTTCAGAAAGTGGCAAGAATGATAGGATCAGTATGCTCAAAGAGAGGGGGAGTATATTGAGAGGGATTAATGGCAATGTGTGTTTTACTGTAATAAATGTATTTTATATAAACATTCATTATATTTTGTGATCACATCTCGTACTCCAACATTTATGTAATTGGAACTTTATAAAGAAAAAAAAGAGAATGGGGCAAAGAAAATATATGAAGAGTACCCAAGAATTTTCCAATATGATAAAAGAAAACAACTGACAAATCTTTATCATCCTTCAAGAATAAATGCAAAAGAAACCATACATATGCGCATCACAGTCTCACTGTGGAAAACTAAGGATAAAATGAAAATCTTAAGCACAACCAGAGGAAAAAGACACATTATGTCCAGGTGATTAACAATAAGATGAAGACTGGCTTCTCACTGAAAAAAAACAAGCCAGAAGACAAACGTTATCCTAAAAATGCAAAACAAAGAAAACTCTTGATAAATAGTTCTCTTTCCAGAGAAATATCCTTCAAAAATCAAGATAAAAGAAAGACATTTCAGAAAGACAAGCCAAGTAAATTTGTCACCCTCCTTCCTGAGCTACATGAAAAAATGAAAAAAGTTGCTGAGGCTAAAGGGAAAAGATACCAGAGAAAATCCCAGACTTGTAGAAAAGAATAAAGAGTACTCAAAGGAGATATGTAAATAAACATAAAAGACTGCTTTATTTACACACACATATACACATACTTAAATTCCTTTAAAAGATTACTAATTTGGAGTTAAAAATATGTGTAGAAGTGAGACATAAGACAAGGACCACAAGGATGGGAAGGTTGTAAAGAGAATTATACTGATGAAAGTTGATTACATTGTTCATGAATAAGTGTAATATTATTTGAAGATACCATGATAAGTTAATGGTGCATACTGTAATCTCCAGACTAAGCAACAAACTAAATAACACAAAAAAGTAGAATTTAAAAGTCAATAAAGAAGATACAAAGTAATATTTGAAACACTCAAATACTCAACCCAAAGAAAATACAACAAATCTCATTAGGATAAAGAGAAGTCCATACATAAACATACTAGAATGAAAGCTATTTTAAAAGCAGCTAGCACAAAACAGACAAATTTACTTCAATGGCCTGAAAAATCAACAGGTAAATTTTGAATAGCATCAGAAGTAAAGAGAGTGAATGCTTTTCAATGTTTTAAATGATAAGAACTGTCAACAAAGAATTCTATACACAGTGAAAAAGTTCTTCATGAATATTTCAGATAAGTAAAACAGAAGTTTCCACCAGCATACCCTGACTAAAACAAACAAGCACACAGAATTAAAACAGTAATTATAAGGATGTTTTCAAACAGGAAATTTATGACAATAGGACTTGAGAGATGCAAGGAGAAATAAAAGAGATCATCTAATCTGGACAAAATGACTATGAACAAACAAAAAATTCCAGTATCTGCATAAAATAAACTTTTCCATGAGTTGGTAGTGATTATTGCAAAATTACTTCAAAAAACAGGCTCACTAGTCATTTTTGCTGTCCGAGACTGACCATTCGGCAACTCATTTACAGAGCATAAGGTAGGGAAAACATCATATGCCACCCTTGAATGAATTCTGGATAAGGAGAATTTCACATAAAAGATATAAATATGTTCAAGATTGACTGAAGTACACTGTAGAACAGGTTAAATTTTAGGGGCTTCTTCCTACTTCATTTTTCATTTCTCCCTCTTTCTAGAGTCTGTTTCTCTCAACCAACATGCCCAAAGGCTATGATTTTTAATAACAGAGCATGTCCACACTGAAAATTTATGATATGGTAATAATAATACTTCAATATATATGTAGAAGTGAGATATAAGGCAAGGACCACATAGGTGGAAAGGGTGTAAATAAAATTATGCTGATGAAAGTTGATTTTGTTCATGAATAAGTATAATATTATTTGAAGATACCCGGATAAGTTAATGGTGCATATTGTAATCTCCAGGCTAAGCAATAAACAAAATACAAACAAGCAGAGTTAATAATACTTCAAAAGGTAGCTTGAGGACTATGTAAAACAGACCATGTTAAGAGCATATCAAAGGGCTGGGCATTTAATTAATTGTCAAATAAGCTTTTTTGTTTTGATACACTGCAGCTTACTTAATCAATATTCCCTAAATTATACATTGTTATGTACATTCCTTTGATTGTAAAAAGTATGATTTAAAAAATTTTTAATGAATCAATAAATAAAATTAAACTTCAGTGTTTTCTACAACGTACAAGGTCCTACATATTCTAGCTTCTTTACCTCTTTGATTATACCTCTGAGAACTTACCTCTTACCTTTCTTCCCCAGTTTCTGGAACATGCCTCAGAGTGTATTTGCTATTCCTCCTATCTAGAATGCTCTTCCATCATTTTTCTACTTGGCTCTCTGTTTCATTTAATTTAGGACTTTCCTCAAATAGTACCTTTTAGAGTGGGCAATCCCTAACCAACTCATTCCTTGTTCCTCATTTCACTATATCATTCTGTCCTCTTAAGCTGCTTGAGCTTGCCTCTGAGTACATATATCAGAAATATTACTCAAATGTTGACACATTTTATTACATAATATAAAAAACATATCACATTTGTTAGTATCCTCATCAATCTCAACAGAAAAGTCTTAGAAGTTATCAAGTTCATAGTAGAGGATATAAGTCTTCCAAAATTCTAATTTTCACTTACAGCTTAAATTTAACATTGGCAACAAATAGTAACAGATATTTTCCTTGAAGTGACACCTCATTTCACTCATTTTTGAAATTTTTTTTTTTTTAGCTGAGCCATCCTGCCACCTGTTGGCAGCTCAGCGGCAGCTCAGCTCGGGCAGGGCATCGAACCGCTGTTGCTCAGTGCTCGCACTCTTGAGTGAGCTCTTAACCATCTGAGCCACTTGGCCGGCCCTTCATTTCACTCATTTTTGAGAAAATGTTTATTAAATACCCAAGTGTGAATAACCACAATTTGTTTGCCAGTTGCTCTTTCAAGTAAAAATAGTGTTCCATGAAAAAAGTGGCTAGATGAGCTCTCACATCAATCGCACGAGTGCTTTTCCTCAAGACAACCACCATCATACTTCACAATGCAGCAGAAGTACTTTATGTGAACTTCCCATTTTGTCACATGGACTATTAAAAATATGTGTATTCAAGGGTCAAGATTTAATAAAATTAATAATTTTTACTGTTTTACCAAGGATACCCTTAAATAAGAATGGCAGTATTTTACTATAAGTACATTGCAGAGGAATGAAATGTCATTGGTGTCATTGTCTTGATTCATGCCAAACATGTAGCAATCTATTCACCATTGCTTTTATACCATCAGTGCAAATGTCAAGAGTGTAAAATTCAATTTGCATCTTAATATTATGTTTTGACCTTACTGACCCTTTGAAAAGGTCTTGGGGCTCCCAGGGATCTGCAGACAATACTTTGAGAACTTCTGTGCTAGTCAAACAGTATTTTCCCTAAATGTGATTTTAAACTGTTTACTTTTTAAATTTAATATATGGGCTCTCTTTCATAAAACTCATTGAAAACACACACACACACACACACACACACACACACACACACACACACAGAGTGAAACAAAGTAAGGGCTAAATAAATGACTTACCTGAAATGTGTTCATTTTCTGCAGCTCTTGGGACAGGACAGGAACTATAAAGCCAGAACAGGGAAAGTTGAAAGACAGAAGTCATGAGACCTTATCTTGCAGTTTCAGGAATCACCTGTGAGAAATTTCCATACATTTTAAACCTCTGGAAAAACGTCCTTTTGAGCCATGAGAAGGAATAGGAAGAACCATGATGAAGAAGTACCCACCTGTCCATTGGTGACTTTGATATAATCTTGATGACCTTGGGACATTTTTGAGTGAATCTAAACATTTCTTTCCTATTGGCTGTTTTGAAAATTATGTGTCCATTTACTAAATAACACAAAAGAATTGAAAACTTAAACATTCATTAATAGATTAGTTGCAAGGTGTATAATATATATCCAAAGAATGGAACCCTCTGCTGGCATTACAAATGCTGAGGAAGAGAAGTATTTACTGATATGGAAAAGTGTTTAAGTTACAGGTCATAACAATTTCTGCTATTATTATTATAAACCCCAAAAGGTCAGAAAGTCTCCAAAGCTCTCAAAAATGTTTCTTTTCCCTAAATTAGTTTCTCAAAAATCACTTCTCCAAGAACCTTGTTTTGACTTATGATATGATATAGTGGACTTGGAGTCTTCTGTTCTATGCGAGGCTCTGCTGTTACCAAAAACTAGTGACTGTCGTAGTTAAAATGCTATTATCTTTTACATGAAGAAGAATTAATTTTGAACAATGCTTCATGTACCATTCAGATTCTGTAAGTCTTCAGCAAGTGCCACAAATCCAGACAGTACCCTGGAATTCACCATCCTCTCCAAACTTGGGCTGGGCCTGGAGTAAAATTTAACTAGGCCTTGATGAATTCTGACATGACAAAATAATCTGCTGATAGTGACACAAATCTAACTTCTAAAATAACAATTTGGTACATAATCCCCAAACAGGCACTTCATACAGGTAGCAAAAGGATGCCATAATGCTGAAATCTTTCTATGTTACACACAGCAGAAATCATTTCCAGTCGGCCTGTTGCTTACAAAATGCCTAATTAATAAGGCCAGATACACCAGCCAATCAGAGGCATTATGTCACTTTCATAACATGGAGCATGGATGAAATTGCAGTTCTCATTTTTTAAAAACTTCTGGCCAGTTCCCCTCTTGCTTGGATAAGATTCCTGGCTTCTCCAGTAAAACTTAAAATTCTGGACTTAACTTAGTTTCAAATTACATGCTTAACAGTCCTCTGACAATAGAGACAAGATGGAGAATGCAGAAAGGGCCTTAATTATAACCTTCGACACAAGAGTTCTGAGGAAGCCTCAAGAATTTTTGGAAATAGAACACTACATGGTAATATTGGGTGGACCTAATCCACTACACTCCACAATTACGTTCTGGCGACGCTCAGGGACAATTACTGTACAACCCAAGACTGCGAATTTTAATGTAGGAAACAGTATGAACTAAAGTAAAACAAGTGAGAATTTACAGCCCACCTGCTAATGTGGGGTAAAGCAATCTCTCTGAACCTGTAGTACTCGTATTTATTAAAATGGAGGTGGTTAATGCCCACTGAAACGATGGTTATAATGATTAAGATGGTTAAATGAGCCAATAACGGAAGAACTGCATACCTTGTAATAATAAAAACAGCTCACCTTTATTGAGTCATCACATTTTAAATATACTATCCTACTGAAAACAGGAAACAACACGAAAGGTTAGTATTATCATTTTACATTTTTGGCGAGTATCTCAATCGTACCGAGATGAACCTGCCCGTTTGCTGGCACCGCTGGACTGGAGCCCAAGTTCCTGGAGCTTTACACCGCCGCCGCGCCAGCCGGAATCGCCCGGGCGGGCTGGGATCCACGTCACCAGCTGCCGTTCCCTCCGCAAGCCGTCCCCACCTTGGCCGGCGCCCCAGATCTCTTGCAGCCGCTGCTCTCACGCAGGCTTCTGGGGAGGAACCGAAAGGAGGACAACCGGTCTCCACGCGGGCTCCCTCCCAAGAGCCCTTGGACACCTATCGGACCTCAGCGGGGGCGGCGGCAGCGGCTTGCAGAACTCTCTGACTCTGCGCAGCCGCAAAGACCCGGCTACCCCGCCCAGGCCTCAACGCCCCAGAACTGCCCTTGACACATCGCAGGGACTGGGTTGCTGCTCCCGCTCTGTGCAGATTCCGGACTGTCCGATCGAGGCTGCGCCCAGCTGGAGGCCCCGAGTCCTCTCCCCTACGGGGAGAAAGCCAGGAAATGAAGACTACTGAAAGGAGCTGGAATTGCTCATGCGCAGAAGTATCCCCACAACCCACTCTGGAACTGCGCTTTTGCGAAGCCTCGGTTGCGACTCCATTTTGGATGAGGTTCGGCATCTAGCGACCTGCGTGTTTGTTGCTGGGATTTCTAGGAGCTCTGTTCCTTTGTTTCGTTACTCATACTGATGGCTGATTAGAACTGGCAACCTGCAATCTGGAGGCTTGAAAACAAAACTACAGTGAGGTGGTGCGATGAATATTGATGAGTAAGTTAAGGAAAGTACTTGAAACAAAGTACAGAACATTCAAAGAATAATACCCTGTGACGGCTGACTTTATTTTAGGAATACTAATTTTAAAATTATGCAAATGATACGTGAAACATAAAGAGAAAATGTGTGTAAGCTAAAACAACATGAGTGCAACACATACCACTTTTCAAGAGAGGGAAAAAAACAATGGTAGATGCACGTTCTTCTGAGAATTTTTCTCAAGTTTTATCCTAATGACATTGATATGACAAAGCTTCACTATAGACGTTTTAAGCCTCCATCAGGTAGAAATTTTAAGTCCTCTCAATATAACAGTTTTAAGCCTGCTTTTCCCTAGTTTCTTAGCTTCTTAGTCCTTGGTCTTAATCACTCTTTTAATAAGTTTCTGAATCCTAAACTAAAGATTGTTCCTAACCCAAATCACAGAATGTCTCTTACCCCTGCTTCAGCTAACTACTAAAAAGCCTGTGACTTAAGCTTGTTATCTGAAATCATTGTAGCCCAACACTCCTCCAGGCCTTCCCAGACCTAACCCCTGGGTGAAAATAAGATAAACTTCAAAGACCTGTTTCTGGAGCCAGAGCCTCTAATTTGTTAACTAACATCTCTCTTCATCTAGGGACCGTGGTGATATGAGTTATGTCCCTGCGAGGCTTCCAGTGCATCCCGACCAAGACGCATTCTTTTTTATTTAAGAACAGATATGGTGAGAGTTTCATAAATCCCTGGTGGGTACGGACAGCTCTTCCCCCCTTCTCAGCTTGAAGCAGATACAGAAGAAGAGACCTCCCATCTCTCAATTCCCCACAGAGATTTATGGGGATTATGTCTCTCAGAAAAAATAAGGCAGGCAGTTAGAAACAGGTAATTGGGTCTCTGCATTCCTGCACGTTGAACACAATCTATGTGGAGCACTGCGTGGAGACCTTTCAAATTTTTCCTTATGTGTCCTAACCATTAACTGCTGTGAGGATCTAACTAAATTGGACTGGTCACTCACACCTGCATGGTAGAAGGATACCATGACCTCCATCTCACCCTAGCCTCATTATACTGTCATTATAATGTCATACATATGCTTGGTAGTTCATTAATATCATTATAACAGACTGAACTCTGGGAAGGGACATGCACAATACAAAAGGGTGAGGTAATAGCCCCTTATCAATCACAGGTGTCAATCAAGCAGTCCCACACCTTGAGAGGAACAGCCTATCCTAGAGAAGAAAAAGATAAAACCTCCATGCTCCCCCAAGCCACCACCTCTTGAGCCTTGCCTTTGCTCATGGCCCTCTCCAAACTCTTTGGAGTATACTTTTTCTTCTAACAAAGGGTCTTAAGCCACTTTTCTTTGTACTCAGCCCACTCCTAATTCTTCGGAATGTATCATCTCTTCTAATTAACTTTTTTCACCACCTTACCTCTGTTTCTCGTTCAATTCTTGCTCGAGATGCCAAGAACCTGGACACCACGGCAAGGAGGGCTCAACCCCCAGCAGAGGCTAGGATTCCCAGTTTTCCTCCCTGAGGCCCCGGTTCGACCCCCAGTGTGGAAAGCTAGCCAGACTCCACTGGATTTGAAACTCGGTGTGAGAGCCAAGCCTGGACATCTCGCCGGTAAGGGCCCCCCTCTCCGGTAACAGCATAAAATGTTTCAACTATCGTTTCACTAAGCAATATATACTTGTCGATGAAAAAACAAAAAGCCTAAGAAAAAGCTAATAAGAGTATTTGAGCCAAACTGACGACAATTGCCAGGAAGCAAAATCTCAACAGATTTAGAAAATGTTCTACAAAATGGTGGTTTGCAGCTTATTTTATATGTAGAATCAAAGGAGGAGGGTGACATGAAATATATTGGTGGTAGATTAAGGGAGTGGGAGAAAGCAAAGCAGGGAAATCCCTGGGATTGGATAAAAGTAAATTGGAGAAACAGGTACTTTTTTTTTTAATTAAAATTTATTGGGGTGACAATGGTTAGTAAAATTACATAGGTTTCAAGTGTACAATTCTGTAATATATCGTCTATATATCCCATGTGTGTACACCACCCAGAGTCGGTTCTCCTTCCATCACTGTATATTTGACCCCATTTACCCTCATCTACCATCCCCCTCCCAGGTACTTCTACATAGGTTGGGTACAGGATAGTTAATAGTTTACTTTTTACAGCATGTGGAGATGGTAATCAGGAAAAGAATAACAATGTGGGATTCTGTAGTTTCCTGCCCTGGTCTGAAAAAGGGGATTACTGACATTCCAAGGATGTCATCCTAGGTGCAAAAAGACAATAGACAGGCTCACTTAAGGTAAAGATTGACCTTATCAAGGAAGCTTCCTGATGTGACTTCCCGCCATGGCCCACCTTAGGAATTTTTATGTTAACACCATCCTATTGTTACCAGAGAGCGGGCCTTTCTCAGAGCCATGTCCCGGTTGGATTCCACACTGGGGGTCGAACACAGTGGTGTCCAGGCTAGATTCCCAGACCGGGAGTTGAACCTGGGCCTCATGCAAAACTGGGAATCTTAGCCACTTTGGCTTGGCTCTCACACTGGGGGATCCAACCTGGCAGAGTCAGGCTAGATTTCCAGACCAGGGGTCAAACCCAGACCTTCGAGCAAAACTGGGAATCTTAGCTGTACCGGCTGCTGGAGGATGAGCCCTCCTCAGCATGGTGTCCAGGTTCTTGGCATCTCAAACAAAGAATTGAATGAGATACTGAGAGAAAGTGGTGAAAGAGCAGTTTATTGGAGGAAAAAGTACACTTCAAAGAAGTAGAAGCGGGCCTGAGCTGAAGGCAGTGGCTCAAGGGGCCATTATTTGAAGAGAAAGTATACTCCAAAGGGTTAGGGGTGGGCCCAAGCAAAAGCACGAAAAAGGCTCAAAGGGGCAAGGGTAAGGGCAAAGGTCAATACGGGCACAGACTTGGAGTTTTATCCTTTTTTCTCTAGAGTGAGCTGTTCCTCTCTGGGCATGGGACCACTTGATTGACACCTCTGATTGACAAGAGGCTGTTACCTCATCTTTTTAGACTTTGCATGTTCATTCCCAGAATTCAGTCTGTTAGAGTGATATTAATGAGTTTCTGGGCATATGTATGATATTATAATTATGGTATAATGAGGCCCAGCTGAAATGAAGGTCGTTGTGGCCTTCACTGTGCAGGTGTGAGTGACTGGTCTAATCTAGTTGGGTATTTTGTACCCATTTGTTTCCTCATAGGGGTAAATAATTACAATGAAAAGGGGAAGTTTTGGGTGGAGAGGGGAGGTCTTTAGGGTGGTTACATTCTGTGGGTTGTGTTGGACATGCAGGAATGTAGAGACTCAATGCCTGCCTCTAAATGCCTGCCGTGTTTTCCCCTTGAGAGATGTGATCTCCATAAAATCTCTATGGGAAGTTGAGTGACAGTAGGTCTTTTCTTCTGTATCTGCTTCCTCCTGGGCAGGGGTGTAGAGCTGCCCCTACCTATTGGGGGATTCATGGAACTCTTGCCCTGCCTGAACTCAGATGAGAGGAAAGGGTCTCAAGATCCATTTGCAAGACCATGTTGGCTTTTTTTGGTTGGGACTGGAAGTCTTGCTGAGGTGTCATCTGTTATCCCCAAGGTCCCTGAATGAGGAAAAATAGATTTTAATTAATAAATTTCTTAAAGAGCAAAGCTCAAAGCTATTGATGCAGGGTGGCTATATGATGGAAAGTCTGTCAGCTCTTGTGGAACCTAGTCACTCAAGTGGCCTAAATTGTCTGGGAGCTGAGCCCAGAATGGGTTGGAAAGAACATTAGGCTTCAATGATACAAGTATAAATCACAAGTTTTAGGGTAATTATCTAAAGCAGGGGGATAGGAGCTAAAAAACTGGGAAAAAGGAAACTTTAAGGAAAAGTTTCCTTAAAGAAACTTTATAAGAAAGAAAATCCCTATAAGAAAAGAAAACAAAGTTTTTCAGTGAAGTGGGGGTGGTGGCGTTACTCGCGTGGCCCATATAACTATGTGGTTATTTTCAGTCTCCTAAGCTTGTCAGGTTTAACATGTGACCCCCTTTCCATCCACATATTGAATATATGCTGATTTCCTGGTCACTTTACAACATCAATTTACTCTTGTGTCAGTAATAGAAATGCATTTCCATTCAAAATAATTTTAAAATATTAAAATTTTTATAACATTAATTTTAAAACATAGAATCCATATAGAGAAAAAATGTATACATATATCTGAGTATGTGTATGCATGCCCACACCTACACCCACACACACACACACACACACACACACACACACACACACACACACCAGTTTTCTGGATGAGAGGTGTTGGGGAAATATTTAAAAATATCTCTTGTTGGGCCGGCAGAGTGGCTCAGTTGGTTAAGAGCACGAGCTCTGAAACAGGGTCACCGGCTAGATTCCCACATGGGCCAGTGAGCTGCGCCTGAGCTAGGCTGCCACTGAGCTGGTGAGAGCAGGTGCTCTTAGCAGCAAGGTTGCCGGTCCGATACCCATCTGGGATGGGGGCTGCGTCCCCCCACAACTAAGATTGAACTACCGTATTTGCCGGCGTATAAGACGATTTTTTGGCCCTGAAAAATATGCCTCCAAGTGGGGGGTCGTCTTATACGCCAGGTACACTTCAGAT